TCTTTTCTTCTCTTCCTTTTTACAATCAGTTCATTTTTTAAAATTTATTTATTTTTATTTGGAGGATAATTGCTTTACAATTTTGAATTGGTTTCTGCCATACATCAACATAATCACCCATAGGTATGCACATGTCCCCTCCCTTCAATCAGTTCATTTTATTTTTAATATATTCTCTATTGGACTTCCCGGTGGCTCAGTGATAAAGAATCTGCCTATGATGCAGGAGACACAGGTTCAATCCCTGGGTCAGGAAGATCCCCTGGAGGAGTCCATGGCAAGACACTCCAGTATTCTTGCCTGGAGAATCCCATGGACAGAGGAGCCTGGCGGGCTACAATCCATAGGGTCACAAAGAGTTGGACACGACTGAAGCAACTTGCCATGCACGCATGCATATTCTCAATTATTCATGGTTCATAATGTCCTTCTGAGATTGAGCCCCTCAGAAGATGACAAATATGGCAAGCTTGCCTTCAGACTTAATCTCCAGCAATTTTTTTTTCTTCCTTTCAAGTCTCTGTCATACCTATCCCTGTTTCTGCTTGTTCCTCCTGTCACCTATACTGAGTGGGTCCCTCTTATTCTATTTCTAGATTATTAGAATGGTGGCTCTTTTCCCTTCATTACTTTCATACACCTCTCTTCAGAGTTTTTTGGTGGTGTCCTATATTTCTCATTGCAGTAAGCATGGTCTCCTCCTATGGGCCTTCGAAGCCATCCCAAGCCTCTTATTTCCTGTATGGTCTCTCCTCCGCTGGTGAACCTCAACTATGCTTGGCTCATGCCTATTTGTTTCAGTCAGTTATTCCTTTCCCCTCAACTGATTCAAATTTCAAGCCCCAGTTTAAGCCTACAGATCTTTTCTCCTCCAAAGTCAGTACTAGTTATTTCCTATACCATATATACCACAGACTTCTTTATTACTCCTAATCTAAATTTGTCAACTCAGGAAAACCATTTTTGCCTATAGCACTCTGTGGCACCAGTAAAAATTGGGGATTTTATCCTAATTTAGCTATATACCCATCATCTGTGGCTAAATTTCCATATACCAAATCTAAAATTATCTTGAGACAAGCATTATAGTTTATTAACACTTTCCAGTGAACTTAAAGGTTTTGACTACACAGTTTGAACAGTTACTCGAATAATCATTCTTCTGTGTGAATGAGGCAATCATCCTTACTGCTCTTAGTGGTGTCAATGTGGACTAGAGGCAAATTTCAACTCGTGTTGTGGGTGGTGTTTTCCATGTTAATAGAAGAAGTCATCCCTAGGAATAGTTAACTTTAACCTCTCAAGCCCAATTCCTAAGGGATGTCTGTAGAGTCACTTGACAGTAAAAGCCCAAGGAGACAGTGTTGTATCTTCTCAATCCTGTTGACAGCACCTGCCAAACCAGGCACCCTGCACCCTCAGATTTATGGGTGCACCTACCCACTCTGAGGTGTCCAGACTTTCCACTTTCAGGACTGCATTCAGCAGATGCATGTTAAGTCCAGGCTCAGTCACATACTCCCTGTTGTTCCCAAGTGCCGCACATTCACCCTCAGGATGCTGGGGGCTTCCTAACCTGCCTGCTCCATAGGGAGTCACACAGTCTGGCAGAGACAAAGATGTGATCCCAATCTGTGCATGCAGCAGCACTGCCACGTTGTACCCATCCCATAGAACATGCACTCAAGCTAACTGCCTTTCAGGGTGTTTTAGGTCAGAGGTCAGCAGTCTTCAGTTGTGGCAGAGGTGCTCAGGGCTGATTCCCACTATGGTGCTGGAGCTCCAAAGGAACAGACACATCTACTAAGCTTCCTTGTCCCGGCATACCCAGAGGTTGGCTCTGTTCAGGCAGCTGTAATCCTCGTAACAGAAATGTTTCTTCAGGCCAAAGCTCTCCAGTGAAGTTCTCTGAAAGTATAGGAGTTGCTGAGGAGAGGATAAGGACCAGGAACTTTGGCTGAATGTTCTTTATGGCTTTTAGAACTTGATGTGTGATTTATAGTACCTTGTCTATTGGTTTCAAGACATAAGGGGAGCTGGGGAGGCAGACAGGAACAGTGTCAGCTAACCCTTTCTGATGGTAGCAAAGCTGTTTTGTCTGAAGGGAGTCTGTGTACTTCCTCTCTCAAGGACGCTTCCTCCCCAGGGCACCATGAACTCCTAATGAGCCATGCTTGAAAACCATTGATGTGTTCCAAGAATGCTATTTTGCAGTTGAATCAAGTGATCTCAGAAAAGTAAAATGACTGCATAATTACTGGAGACCAAGATGGGTACCCAGATGTCCTGATTCTTGGTGTAATTATTTCCTTATAATTCTAGGCTATAGGTTTCTTTAACTACATCATATCTTTAATGCTTTTTGAAATACCTTAATCTACAATAAGCCAAATCTCAAAATTGAAAGTATAGTTAGTATATCCTGTACATATATGCAAAGATGACACGCTATTAAATATTTTCAGACCATGAGTGGGCCAGGATTTCCTTAGTATACATCTGTGTTAGTAATTACAGTATACTTCTGAAGCCAAACAGAACACCTCTTTGTTATACATTATATAAACATTATATATCATGAACAGTGTTTGCTATATGGACATTTATCACTTTTAAAAAATGAAATTAAAGCTTCTATCCAGGGCATTATAAAGTTTCAAAGCAAACAAGTTCAATACTAGATATATTTCATATTTTAAGTTATATAATCAGTAGAAATAAAAACATCTTCCAACTTAAGAACAAAGCTTCCATCAGTCATTCTGATTTTTCACCTTTCTAGAGATTCTTCTCCCAGCAGGGTGTATCTCAGTGCACATTAGGGTCTCAGTGTGTGCCTGGGCCTAGTGTTACTCCAAGCCTTCTGGGGATTGCAGTGTCTTATTGCAACTTTTGCTATTTGCACACTCTAGAGACCCACAATCTGGGAATACCCCTAGGCCTAGGCAGAGGGGCCTTGGGACCCCAACATACTTTATTACATCACCACCCTGTTGTACTGATTTCATCACACTTGACTTGTTGATTTGATTGTCTGTTTGATCTCCTGCTTATGGCCATAAAACACCACACATTCCCAGAGAGCAGAGACCTCATCTGATCTCTTCATCCCTTTCTCTCTAAAACAGCATCTGGGACACATCTGATTAAAATCAGAATGACAAATTAATGCAAGAATGCTTCAGTATTCATCTCTGTTGTCTAGGATTCTGATTCTTTTGACTCACTTTATTTGGTTTGAGTCCCCTCTGACAGTAATTTTGTTTACTGTTTAAGTTGCTTTAAATCATTTACATTGATGCATTTATATTCAAACAGAACAAAGCTTCTTGTTAAGTTAAACGAATACCCATATCTTCCTGTTATTTGTCTCTTTTCATTCAACTTGGCCAGTTTAAGTTAGTAAAGCTTCTACATATCTAAACTGGTTATAAATCTCAACTTTTTGTTCCATAAGATTTTATTTCTCTTCTTAACCACCTGGGTTAAGCCTTTGATGCTTGATTCTAACAGTCTGTATCATATTATTATTCTTGTTCATTTTGTGATCTCAAAAGCCTATATGTTAAGAAAGGGGGCTTAGAAATAACATTATCTTAAATGGGATAAATCAAACTTCTACATCTTGAAAGCTGCCCAAGTAATAATCAACTTTGATTGAATATGCTGTTTACTATCAATTTTATATGAAAGCTTGGCAATATTAAGTGTACTCACTATGCATATCACACTTCCCAAATATTTTATTCTTCTCTGGTTCTCGTAACAGCTCTGTGAAGTGGGGCTGAAAGGCTCTCAGAATTGTGGGAGAACTATTAAAAGATTAAATAACTAAAGTTTGAAAAATTAGAGTAATCTGCCCAACAGGGCCAAGATTAGAAATTAAGTTCCTAATCTGGTGTTTTTTCAGGGTACAAAACTGAGAGTAACAAGAAAAATCAACATGGTTTCTATATGTGTCTTTTACAAATTATTTTAGAAATAAAGGTAAGATATCATTATATAATGAAAATTTTAATATATGATATGATTTTGTTAGGATCTACTACATAATGAATACTGATAGCTATATGTTATATTGAGTAAAAAGATACATTTGAGCAAATTAGGTCAAAGAAAAGAGATGTTAACAATGACCAGAGAGGCAAAAGTTTTTTAAATGTATGCATTAGGTTTATATTTACAAGGTTTAGTCAAGGGTAGTTAACTTATATTTTAAGCAAACTCCACTGCTTTCCATAAATCTTTTGATTGAGCAAATAATTATGAGGGTGATCTTAAAATACTGTTAAACTTTTTAGACTTACAGAGAAATTACAAAAATCATACAGAATTCACATATACCCTTCTCCCAGCTTTCCCTAATGTTAATAAGCACATACTTAACCATAGTATAATTCTCAAGACCAGGAAATTAACTTTATAGTAATTACATTTTAATTCTATTCATGTAATTAATAGAAGGAACTAAAGCTAAGCCAATGATTAAGTTTATTTATATCAATAATTGTATTATAGGGTCTTAATTACTTATAGAAAATTAATAAATTTTTGCTTTAACAGAATAATAAACAGAACATTAGTTCATAAATTCTAGCTATTATTTTTTCCAGCCATCCACTTCTTGGTCTTGAACCATAACACACATACTTTTTTAAGAGACTTAGGGAGTTCTTAGCTAATAGAAATTCTGTGGTCTGTTGTAAAGGGCGTATTTAGTTGCAGATTCTCTCCCGTCTACTTCAGCAGCAAACAGCATCCTATTCTTGTGAGAAAGGTTTGCAACAAGATGGCTTGTTTCTAGAGTGTGAAACTGAAAGCTTCACTAAAACTGTTAAAGACTAAACCTTGTACATATGTGTTTAGTTGTCCTGTGCAGTGGTGAATCAGGTTGACTAGCATAATGACATTTTAATATGACATTGTATCTCTTATTGAGGAAAATGCTACTAAATCAGATATATGAGTATTATTTACAAGTGACAAAGAAAAACTTGGAGTTACTTGATATTTTGTGGTTTAAGAACAATACTTGAATATGATCTTATGCATGAAAATGCATAGGATGATATTTCTCTTGTTTTAATGTAGTTGTTTTCAAGATGAAGATGTTCCAGGGTCGAATCATCATCTTCTTCAGCATTGCAAATTTGTTCTGGAAGAATATTCCTAAGGAAAAATAGACATGCAGGTCATAAAGGATTGAAGTAATATTCCACCTTCATAATTTAGGAGTTAAAATAAAATTGGATCCTTGTCTTATTACAAGAAAAAATTCCAAATAATCAAAGATCTACATATGAAAAAATAAAGTCATAGAAGTGATAGAATAAAGCATGGTTATACCCCAGTAGGGAGGGAGAAATCTTCCTATGTGTGACTCAGAAACCAGAAGCACTAGAAGAAAAGATTAAAAAATTGGCTACAGTTTTTTTTCTTTTAATGCAAAGGTAAAAGACAAATGGCAGAGTAGGAGAAAGTGTTTGCAACTTAAATAAAGGGCTACTTTACAAAGACCTAAAAGTCTAGGAGGCGGGAGAAATCAGAAAAAAAAAAGATACCTGGTAACCAGTTTACAGATGAGAAAATGAATTACATGTGAACATAAAAGGATGCTTAATTTCATTTATGACAAGAAAAATTAAATTGAAATGATACTGGCATGCCACTCTCACTTATCAGATTTTTCCACCTCCCCACAGAACAAATCAAAGCTCATTCACATGTTCTGATGATAAAGTTGTATGGGATCAAGCATCACTGAAGGGAATTCATAACTGTTCAGCCCCATGGAAAGGAATCTGGCAGTATGTAGCAAAATTACATATTCATTTTATTCCTTTCACTCAGCAATTCCGTTTCTAGGGATTTATCCCAAAGTTAGATTGGGAAATACAAAATTATATTTGAACAGAGTTACACGTTGTGGCATTATTTATAGTATAAAGAAGTGGAAACAATCAAATGTCTATCAGTAAGAAACTGGGTAAATAAAGTTCCCACCTAATAGTACTATTCAGTTGTTAAAAGGAAAGAGGAAATTTTCTACCTACTGATATGGAGTGATATTCAGGATATACTGAAAATTTTTAAAAGTAAAGACTAGAAAAAAAAGAGAGAAAAGAATAGTACTTATTCTACTTATTTCACAGAAGAATAATACTTCTGTATGATAATTTATATAATAATTCTGAGGGGGTATGGAATATGAATGTGTATGCTTAGCAGTTTCAAAAATAACACTGGAATCATCAACAGGAAATTAATTTAAAAATTTAATCAAAGGAGAAGGATGGAATACAGTATAAGGGATAGGCATAGGAAAATATTTTGTAGAAAGTAGCAATTCCTAAAAAACTTTTGAACTGTAGTGTGGGAGAAGGCTCTTGAGAGTCCCTTGGACTGCAAGAGCAAAACCAGTCAGTTTTAAAGGAAATCAGTCCTGAATATTCATTGGAAGGACTGATGCTGAAGCTGAAACTCCAGTACTTTGGCCACCTGATGTGAAGAACTGACTCATTAGAAAAGACCCTGAGGCTGGGAAAGATTGAAGGCAGGAGGAGAAGGGGATGACAGAGGGTGAGATGGTTGGATGGCATCACTGACTTGATGGATATCAGTTTGAGCAAGCTCCAGGAGTTGGTGATGAACAGGGAAGCCTGGTGTGCTGCAATCCATGGAGTTGCAAAGAGTTGGACACGATTGAGCAACTGAACTGAAAGCAAACTAAAGACCTATATGAATATTAAATTGTTGACATACTGTTACAGAGAAAACTACTGTGCTTAAGCTATACATACTCCATGGAACATATTCAAAGGACAAATAGAACTACCAAAAACATAATAAACGTAATTAAATACTTTTGCTGTTAGTCGTAATAATGGTATGCATTTATTACCTTACAAAATAGGTTTACATATTGTAAGGTAATAAATTAAGTTATTGTTGGAAACCTAGATTTTCAGTTTAAGATAAGTCTACATCAGAAGGATTTCTCTATAATGGTAATTTTTTTTTGCTTTTGCTTTTTTTATTTTCAATTGGAGGATAATTGCTTTACAATAGTGTATTGGCCTCCACCATACATCAGCTTATAATGGTAAATTTGATTTGGGAATATCAGTATGAACTGTTTTTGTTCTTTTTTTTTTTTAACAAAAATGCATATTTCTGGCAGTCCACTGAAAGGCCTTGAGACTAAAAATACATTTAAAAGGAAGATGCCTGGTGCCCAGACTGGGGCCTCTGAACACTATTCCCCAGTGAGAGGAGCTAGGGCTTTTTGGAAGAAGGCTGGCATTGGTCTGTAATGGGGAATGTAAAAGTGAGCCATCCAAGATCTATGGAGGCCTGTCCAAGGACTCAGGAGCCAGCTCAAAGGAGCTCAGCTGAAGATGAGACAGTTAAGAACAGCAATTGCGACTGATGGAAACATTCTTAATATATAAAGCCATAAATTTATATTGAGTCTCCAGAGAAAGAGAGAAGGCCAGAAACAAAGTAATAAAACAAAATATTCAGGCACCAACTTCTTTTTTTTTTCTTGAGACAGTCACTATCAAATTTTTTAAGTCTTTTATAGTCTTTTTCATCCATAGTTAATGCATATGTATAATTTTTTACAATTTTATAAAGATAAGATTGGCATGACATTGTATTAGTTTCAAGTATACAACATAATGATTAGGTGTGTGTGTGTGTGTGTGTGTGTGTGTGTGTATGTGTTTTTGGTTGAAATGATTACCACCATAAGTTAATATGCATCACCTCACATAGTTACAAATTTGTAACCAGCTTCTTACCATGATGGGCAATTTAAAGGAAAGAACTGAGCGTTTATCTTACCTCTCAGAGTAAAGAACTTGCCCTTGCTGATAAGAAAGTATTATTTACAGAGGAATGTGCTTAGTCACTCAGTCGTGTCTGATTCTTTGCAACCCATGGACTGTAGCCCATCAGGTTCCTTTGTCCATGGGATTCTCCCAGCAAGAATACTGGAGTGGGTTGCCATTCCCTTCTCCAGGTTACAGAGGAATTCCATTTAATAAATGTGGAAAGAATGACAAAAATAGAAATTCACCTTTTTGTTACCCCGAAGGAAATAACAGATGCCAGCAAGTGTCATCATGAGTTAAAAAAAACCATTGGTTCAGTGGTGGAGGAGAAAGGTTATGATGGAGATATCATACCATTGCCACTTGTATCCCACCAGAAGTGGGATATTTTATGCCTCCTGATAAAATACAATAAGAACCATATGGCACAACCTAGGGATTATCTTAGCCAAAAAATTTACACTATGATTATAAAGCCCTCCCCATCCCCACCACTTCCCCTATAAACTTGACTCTCTGTTTTATCTTTTAGAAGTTTGTGTTTGGAATTTTAGAGATAGGTAAAAGAATAAAGAGTATAATCTTCAAAGACAGGACCACAGAGCTCAAGGATCTGTCATCCTCATTGGCTGCACTAAGAAAGTGTCCCAGATTAATCTTGAGACATTCATACTTTATAAGCAGAGGGGATGACTCAGTCAGCAAACAGAACACACACAGAAAAATGTGTCCTCAGAAGTGAAGAAACTGAGTTTTAATAAATGTTTTCAGGATTTTGTTTTCAGAAAAATCTAGATAGAAGCAAGCAATTTTAATGTTAGCATACACTTAGGTTTTGTGCTCCACAGATCAGTGTGTTTGAAATCACGTATGGAGGTTGGAACAGCACCATAATCTTCGGCCTTAAAGTCTCACTTGAAAATGTCTCTAAGATTCTAGGTATTATGTAGTCATACTCTATTTTTTAAAAATTTTACATGGAAGTTTGCAAACATAGAAAAGTAGGGGAAAAACTATAATGAATCCTTATGTACTTATTATCATCCAACTTCAACAATCATTAAATGTGCCAGTGTTGTTTGATGCAACCTCTTGTCATTTTTTCTTTAAATTCCAGACATTATGTCATGGTCATTTAATCATATTTTGTCACCCGTGACAATTTAAATGGATACTTGAGAAAGTCAAAATTTACCTTATCTTGTTGTTGTTTAGTCTCAGGAAATGTAGTGCTTTCATTTCTTGTACCCCAGGTGGTATAGATTTTAATTCATTATGATCCAGAAACAGCTCTCGCAGAGAATGATAAGCGCCATAGAAGGAGACTCGGTCTATGCCATCATCCACAAGCTTATTAAATGACAGGTACAGGTATTCCAGGCCTGGTTCCATGTGACCAAACACATAGCCAGGGATGCGTTCGATCTGGTTCCCAATGAGTACGAGGTGCAGCAGCGACTTGGGTAGATAGGAGGGGACATGGTAGAGCTTGTTGTAGGAGAGGTCTATTGATTCTAGATTTCTAGAAGAGAATAAACAATGTGGGTGCATCAGGGCATGACTGTTAGCTCAAAGTTTTGACAAGCCAGTCAGGATGCTTGTCTGCTTTTGTGCCAGTACTCAGTGTTTAGTAATGGTTCCCAGTGCAAGTGTGGCTATATGGTGATCTAGCTGCAAGGATATTGCTGCTTGAGTTCCTGTCTTATGGAGGAGCACCAGAGTTGAGAGAAAAGAATCTCATATCCTAGGGGTAATGCTGAGACCCAAAGAGGGCCCACAAATATCTCTGAGGCATAACTTATATTGGAAATAAAGTCCAAAGTTCTAGCTGACATCAAAACCCTATCCCTACAATCATCCTTGGTTCCAGCAAGGAAGTAGCAGTAAGAGGTTTGTGTATTCTCCTTCCACATTTGATCTGATAACTTGGGATCTGGGACTTGGGGTAAGAATGAGAGATCTAGAAAAAGTTGATAACCAATCAGAAGATCTGGGAAATGTGGTGAACTCCCTGGCTTTTTTCAGGAGCCTCACCTGCAGCTTCTGCCCACTGCATGAAGATTTTTCACTTGCTGAAGACTCAGTTGCCCTGCCACTGCCACATCCTGCTAAACCTAAAGGGCCCTCAAGGTCTCTTTCCATCTCTGTCCTGCTTCTGAAACATGCCTAGCACCACGATGCTACTCAAATCCCTCATTCCCTCATGACATGACTTCAGATCTGCTCTGATGGCACCTGCTCCCGCGGCCTGACCCTGCTTCCCTGTGTAGCTGATCATCTCCCTCCTGGTAAGCAAGGCCTCGACACTTTGCACCTCCCTGAGAGCTACAGCCTGGGACCATTGATTCCTCTCCAGGAAAGTGGGCTCTGTTTTTTGCTTTTTCTGTCAGGTCATGCATTCTTCAGTCTCTTTTGTAAGACTTGAGATAGAGAAATAGTATCAAGGAATGAAGACAGTGTGGTATAGAATCTAATGGTGAGGGAGGAGAAAAAGGGAGAACGGCAGCTTCCTTCCTTACTGTATTGTTGCTATCGTTGTTCAGTCTCTAAGTCATCTCTGACTCTTTGTGACTACATGGACAGCAGCACACCAGGCTTCCCTGTCCTTCACAATCTCCCAGAGTTGGCTCAAACTCATGTCCATTGAGTCGGTGTTGCCATCCAGTCATCTTATTCTCTGTTGAACCTTCTCCTCTCTCCTTCAGTCTTTCCTAGAATCAGGGTCTTTTCCAATGAGTTGGCTCTCCACATCAGGTGGCCAAAGTATTAGAGCTTCAGCTTCCAATGAATGCTCAGGATTGATTTTCTTTAGGATTGACTGATTTGATCTCCTTGCTGTCCAAGGGACTCTCAAAAGGCTTCTCTAGTACCATAATTTAAAGCATCAATTCTTTGGCACTCAGCCTTCTTTATGGTCCAACTCTCACATCCATACATGACTACTAGAAAAACCATAGCTTTGACTATACAAATGTTTGTTGACAAAGTACTGTCTCTGCTTTTTAGTACACTGTCTAGGTTTGTCATAACTTTCCTTCCAAGAAGTGTCTTTATTTTCTGGCTTCAGTCACAGTCTGCAGTAATTTTGGAGCCCAAGAAAATAAAATCTGTCATTGTTTCCACTTTTTCCCCTTCTATTTGCCATGAAGTGATGGGACTAGATGCCATGATCTTAGTTTTTCAATTAGAGTTTTAAGCCAGCTTTTTCACTCTGCTCTTTCACCTTCATCAAGAGGCTCTTTAGTTCCTCTTCACTTTCTGCCACTAGAGTTATATCATCTGTGTATCTGAGGTTGTTATTTCTCCCAGCAATCTTGATTCCAGCTTGTGATTCATCCAGCGTGGCTTTTCACATGATGTACTCTGCATATAAATTAAATAAGCAGGATGACAGTATACAGCCTTGACATACTCTTTCCCGATTTGGAACCAGTCCATTGTTCCATGTTCAGTTCTAACTGTTACTCCTTGACCTGCATACAGGTTTCTCAGGAGGCAGGTAAGGTGGTCTGGTAGTCCCATCACTTTAAGAATTTTCAGTTGTGATCCACACAGCCAAAGGCTTTAGTGTAGCCAATGAAGCAGAAGTAGGTGGGGTTTTTGGAATTTCCTTGATTTTTCTATGATCCAACAGATGTTGGCAATTTGATCTCTGGTTACTCTTCCTTTTCTAAATCTAGCTTGTACATCTGGAAGTTCTCAGTTCACATACTGTTGAAGCCGATCTTGAAGGATTTTGAGTGTTACCTTACTAGCATGTGAAATGAGCAAATTGTATAATAGTTTGAACATTCTTTGGTATTGGAATGAAAACTGACCTTTTCCAGTCCTGTGGCCACTGCTGAGTTTTCCAAATTTGCTGGCGTATTGAGTGCAGCACTTTAACAGCATCCTCTTTTAGGATTTGAAAAAGCTCAGCTGGGATTCCATCATATCCACTAACTTTGTTTTTTGGTTTTTTTTTTTTTACATCCACTAGCTTTGTTTGTAGTGGTGCTTCCTAATGCCCACTTGATATCACATTCCACGATATCTAGCTCCAGGTGAGTCACCACACCATCATGGTTATCTGAATCATTCAGACCTTTTTTGTACAGTTCTGTATATTCTTGGTACCTCTTCTAATCTCTTCTGCTTCTGTTAGGTCCTTGCCATTTCTGTCATTTATTGTGCCCATCTTTCCCTTGGTATCTCCAGTTTTCTTGAAGAGATCTCTAGTATTTCCCATTCTGTTGTTTTCCTCTATTTCTTTGCATTGTTCACTTAAGGCTTTCCTATCTCTCCTTTCTATTCTCTGGGACTCTGCATTCAATTGAGTATATGTTTCCTTTTCTCCTTTGCCTTTTGCTTCTCTTCTCAGCCATTTGTAAGTCCTTTTCAGACAACCACTTTGCCTTTTTGCATTTCTTTTTGGGGGGATGGTTTTGGTCAACACCTCCTGTGCAGTGTTACAAACCTCTGCCCATAGTTCTTCAAGTACTCTGTCTATCAGATCTGATCCCTTGAATCTATTTGTCACCTCCACTGTATAATCATAAAGGATTTAATTTAGGTCATACCCAAATGGCCTAGTGGTTTTTCCTACTTTCTTCAATTTAAACCTGAATTTTGCAATAAGGAACTGATTATCTGAGACATAGTCAGCTCCAGGTCTTGTTTTTGCTGACTGTATAGAGCTTCTCCATCTTCAGCTGCAAAGACTATAATCCTCTCTGTGGGTAGAGGATTATCAAACTTACAGTTCATGACTGCCTGTGAGGTCAGCAGACCAGCACAGTGATCAGACCTTAGGCCATGCTGCTTGCGCTTGGCACTTGTGCATTGCAGGTTATCCACAGCAGCAGTGACCATAGCTATCCTAACGTCAGTTATTTCATGACCAGTTGAACTCTTTGCAAAAAGCCAAGTTTTTGGTAGGGGGAGGTTCACTAAGAATGCTGTCATCTTCCTCACTCACCCATTTTCATACCCTGTTGAGTAATGGCAAAGGAAAAGAATTCATCTATGAACATCAAACTGTAGCATGTACTTACTCTTGATTTATCCAGGCTAAAGGAGCAATTCTGTTTTCTTCAATTTTATTATAACGTAATCCAATGACATTGATCTTTCTGGTATGATTAAAAGAAATTTCAGTTATTTCTTCAATTTGGTTATTTTCTAGGTATAATTCCTATAATTAAAAGAAAAGACTTATTTTTCATCATATTACTTGATATGATAAATATATTCAATTTCACAGAATTAAAATATATTCAGTTTCACAGAATTAAAATCATGTTATAAACTGTTGTCATTAGTGTTAGCTAATGAAAGAGTCTTGCAGCTCTTCCAAATGAGTTAATTTTTTACATTGTCAGATTTTCTAGCTAGCAAAATAAAGTGTACTCTTTGTCATGGTTATGGAACTAAATGAATTTAATTATTTTTAACCATAAAATGATACGATATAGCATATCATGATACTTGTATATAGCTTTCTGATTTACAAAACTTATTCACATAAATTATTTCATTTGGGCTTCAAAGACCTAGAAACTAGAAAATAGGTAGAAATTATCCCCATCTAGTAGTGAAGAAACTCAGGCCTGGAGAGATGGCAAGGTGTTTGCAAAGTTAAACAGCTGATACATGAGGGAAATTCATGCTGGCTGGCCCCAGCTTAGAGTTATCCTGTTTCCTGCCAGTCCGTGCTGTCTGTAATTTTTTTAGGCTCACATTTTTTAGGTTTGTTTGTATTATAATTTCTTTAATTAAAAGTTCATTAAGAGCCTTCATTTAACATTATGGTGAGGTTAGAACTATTAGTAAGTTGTCAATAGTCAGCTGCCTTCAAGTTAAATTCATTTGACTTTACCAGGAATTTGTCACTCAGAGATCTTGTTGGAATTCTGAAGTATGATTTGTGTATATATATTTGGAGTAATTCCTATTGTAGTAATTTCCCCCTTTTGTCATTTAATTTTGGTATTGTTGAAAGTATGTAAAGTAAATTTTAGTGTTCTGCTTCATACCTATTTAGGGGTGAACTATATTAGTGGCTCCTAAACTTGATTGTAGGTTATAATCACTCGTCAGATTTTTAAAGTATAAATTCCAATTTAAATTAACAGAGCACGCTCATTTATATGTTGAAGCTTCAGGTGTGAAGTGGTATGTTGAAAGGGTTCAGAGTGTATGTACATGCATGGACAACAGCTCCCAAGAAGCTAGTAAGAGGGTCTTTGGAAAGGGAAACCAGGGATGGAAGTGTCAGACATGGAATGGAGACACACTGCTCTTTTGTACTATTCAAGTGTTGTGTGTGTGTGTGTTTTACTGTGTGCATGCATTATCTATTTAAATTTTTATTTTTAAAAACCCAATAAATTGTTGACCCAATTCTCCAAAGAACCTGATTTAGCATGTCTGGTATAGGCCCCAAAATCTGTATTTGTTTAGAATCCAAGTAGTTCTGAGATAAAGCTAGGTTATGAGTGCAACCTCCATTTTTACAGTATTGGTAAATTCTAAATGTCTGTCTTAATCTACAAATAGGAAAAAGAGGAAGCATGGTGGCTGTGTAGCAGCAGTATCAGATTGAAAGTGATGGTCCTCTTTTGGCTCACTGGGTTCACAGCCATGTGAAGCATCATCCTGCTGGCTGATTGTTTATGGGACAGAAATAGAGCTCAGAGGAAGTGACCTAAGGGTCACCTGGATCTGCTGAACCTCAGTTCTTAATGTGGAAAGTCAGGGTGTACACTTAGCAGGGAAGGCCCCACCAGAGTGCCTCCATAGTTAAGTGTGTTCCGTGTTGTAGCAAGGGAGACCACACACTTGGGCCACAGGAAATCCATCCAGAGGGGATGGACATAGAACAGTGCTAGTCAAAATTAGTAAGCTGTGAGAAGTGAGTGAGGGGTGGCTGTGCTGGCACAGTCAGCAGCCTTCTCTGAAAATCTTGTCCATCCTTACAGGGTCACTGCTAGCCCAGGTGGGCCTCTGAGTGGAACAGACTGGGATGAACATCCCATTTCCAGTTTGAGATAGTTTAAACTACTTTGCAAATCAAGGTGCTTTTTGCAAGTTGTACTTTCTGTTTGAACTTTCAGTTCATCTTCCCTATTCTCTCCCCAAGAGCTGTCAGTAAGACCAATTTTCACTTTACCAAGACTCTACTAGTAGTAATAATTCTAATTCATAATTTTGTATTGTTTGAAAACAGTGCTCAAATTATAATAAATTTTATTTATAGCACCAGAACTACTCAGTTTAATATGCATCATGATAATCTTTTTAAATATATTGTTTGTTTTGTCATTGCATGCTATATTTAAAATATAAAACATTATAAGGAAAATATTGGTACCTCAATAGAAGCAGGAAGACCCTGTGGTATAATTCTAAATTTATTTCTTCCCAGACGCAGGTAGGATAGGCTCTTCAAAGGTTTGAAAGCTAAGGAATTGACATTGGTTTCACTGAGATTGTTTCCTTCCAATTCTAAGGTGACCAATTGATTTAAGTCTATAAAAAAAATTATTGTGATATTATAATTTAAAAACATGCAATTTCTATAGGCTTTCAAAATTTCATGTGAGATGTTCACTTTATTTGGATGACTAATGTTATAGCTTCTTTCTTTGAATCCCCCCCATAGAGCCTTTTCCCAAGTACTCTTCACATTTGCACAACAAATGTTCAGTTCAGCCAGGACTCAGTGCTGAATGCATGGTCCAGGAGAGACAGGCCTGTAGAGAAATCACTGTTGTTTTGTATGATGAAAGTTTGTAACCCTCATACAAAAGCCAAAAAACACCACCCAAAAAAACATATATGCAAAATAACTTTAACAAAATACTGGGAAACCAAATTCAATGATATATTAAAAGGATCATACACTGTAATCAAGTAGGACTTGTTTCAGGGATGTAAGAATGGCTTAATATCCACAAATAAATGTGGATACACCATATTAACAAACTGACAGATAAAAGTCATATGATCACCTCAAAAGAGGCAAAAAAAAAGCTTTTGACAAAATTCAATATCCATTTATGATAAAGACTCAACAAAGTGGGTACAGAGGGAACATCCCTCAACATATATGACAAACCTACAGCCAATATCATACTCAACAGTGAAAAGCTCAAAGCATGTCCTCTAAAATCAGGAATAAGACAAGGATGCCCAGTCTTACGGCTTTTATTCAACATAATGCTGGAAGTCCCAGCCATAGCAATCAGACAAGGAAAATAAATGAAAGGAATCCAGGTTGGGATGGAAGAAGTAAAATTGTCACTGCAGACAACATGATACTATATATATAGAAATTTGTAAAGACTGCCTCCAAAAAACTATTACAACTAGTACATGAATTCAGTAAAGTTTCAGGATACAAAATTAATACACAGAAATCTGTCGAGTTTCTATACACTGACAATAAACTATCAGAAAGAGAAATATTAAGAAGACAGGCCCATTTCCAATTGCATCAAAAAGAATAAAAACTTAGGAATAAATGTAAACAAGGAGGTAAAAGACCTGTACTCAGAAAACTATGAGACACTGATAAAAAAAATAATTGAAGGCAACACAGACAAATGGAACGATATACCATGTGCATAAAACAAAAGACTTAATACTGTTAAAATGACTATACTGCCTAAAAAGACAGTCTACAGATTCAGTGCAATCCCTATCAAAATAGCAATGGCATTTTCCAAAAACTAGAACAAATAAGTGTAATATTTGTATGGAAATGCAGAAGATCCCAAATAGTCAAAACAATCTTGAGAAAGAAGATATATCTTCTTTCTGGATATATCTGGATATATAAAAGCTGGATATATCACACTCCCTGGTTTTAGGCTATAGTACAAAGCTATAGTAACTGAAACAGTGTGGTACTGCAAAAAAAACAGACCCATAGACCAGTGGAACAGAATAGAGAGCCCAGAAATAAACCCACACATTTATGGCCAATTAATCTTTGAGAAAGGGAGTTAAGAATGTACAGTATGGAAAGGAACATTTGTATAATGAACAGAAGTCAGAAGAAGGAGGTGGGGGAGCAGGATACCACACAGAGGTGGCAATGAAGTATTTGCAGAGACAGATAGGTATGAAATGGTGGCATAACCAGGGAGGTATGGGGAGTGTAATGCAACGGGTGGTCCCTTTTTTCAGGACACAGAAGGAGCACTCTTGCCTGGTAAACCCTCAGTCTTTGAACAAGGGAGTTACAGCAGTGAATTCCCATTGCAGTGTTCATTTCCTGGCAGAGAGTGAAGCCAGATGGACATTTTGAAAGAATGACTAAAAATTCCACACATTCAGATTGAGCTATCAAGAAAGGCCTTTATAAAAACAAGTTTCTTTCTAAATTGTTTCTTCAGGTCTCTGGAGTGGTATGACCAAATCAACTGGAAACTTAGAGGAGAATGGATAGTTCAGCAGTGATGATACCCACAGGCATCTGAGTCAGACACTCAGGGTGTAACTTTGGAGTTTGCTCAGTGGCCAAAATTTTCAGAATAGAGGATGTTTTCATATTCAATTCGAGTCATGGATATTGCACTGATATGCTCTGTGCAACTTAGATCCTACTCTTAGGCAAAAAGAGAAGTAAGACATAGTCTAAAGTGAAAACAAAAGACACTGCCATCACAAGTACCTCACAGGTTCTAGAACATGACAAGGAGAAGATGGCAGTGTAGACTTGAGTGGTACGGAGGTGTGAATGGGGCTAGACTCTCAAGAGAGAAAGACATCGGTAGAAATGGGAGGGTGAGGCAGCCAGGTGAACACATGCAGGTATGAACCCACATAGTTGTGCTCAGGAGTAAGAAAGAGATCAGGCCTAGAGTGGCCCATCTGTAAGAGAGGATGAAGATTGTGGAGAAGACAGAGGTGGGCTGGGCAGGGCCTTCATGTACCAGAAAATAAGGTCTGACTTTCCTTATGGGCAATGAGAAGCCTCTGGACAGGGAACAGCATAACAAAATACTAATCTGCTGATATTTAACATCAACTGAAGGGCAGAGAGGAAGTATGGAGGCCAATTATTGAATTATGATACATGATTCTATTTCTTTATATAACCATTTCCACAACTAAGGATACTGAGAATCCAAGCATATTTATCTAGAACATAGCTGAGGTTTTGGAATGGAGAATTTTTTTCAGAGAAAAATATATAATAGAAGTAAGTAGACTAGTGGTTATTATGTGACCTCACAAGAGAGAGAAACACAATAATGCAAATTCATGATCTTATGCATTAATTTAGTTATTCTGAGTGGATAGCCACACACCATCTTTGCTAGAAATGACACCATGATCATGGATTTTGGTTTGTTTTCATCATTAATGAAGACAGGAACATTTTTTAGCATGTCCTATTTTCTTCTGCTCTCCCCCCTTTCTATCTTCACCTTCCCTTTTGATGTTGTTATTTAGTCACTAAGTCATATCCAACTCTTTTGGGACCCCATGGACTGTAGCCCACCAGGCTCCTCTGTCCATAGGATTTCCCAAGCAAGAATACTAGAGTAGGTTGCCATTTCCTTCTCCAGGGAATCTTCCCAACCTGAGGCTGGAACCCATGTCCCCTATATTAAGGCAGATTCTTCACCATTGAGCCACCAGGGAAGCCCCACCTTCCCTTTTAAGACCTTCCTTTTCTCTAGAGTGGGTATGCAGGTCTCCCAGTGGATCCTGGATGGCCTCCTAGCACCTCGGCATAGTTTGTATAGCTCTCCGTTGTGTGGTTCTTTCTCATCTTTTCACATCATCTTTTGTTCTTCACTCGTTATCATAGCCTGCATCTAAGATTTATGAAACCGAATGTTTTTCCCATAGCATCCAGATTGTTTTGTTTCTTTACACTTTTGCGTGTATTACTTTCCATGGAGTGCTGTCTTTCCCACTTTCCTGGAACTATACATTAATATATAAAACCTGGAAAGGTCATGAGGGAGGTAACAAAAGTGCTGCAAGCCACTGATAGTCAAGCCAGGGGCTTCCACCCAGAAAAGCAGTGTCACAGCGCTGGCAGTGGCCTTTGTTTTGGGCTTGCTTGCTCACTGCCAGCCAGCCTGAACATTCACAACAGTGGGACTCACAGGAGCTGAGGGCTGCAGTGGCTGCAGCAGTTGAAAGAGAACTCGGTACCAAAGGGGCCAACACTGGAGCAGGACTAAGAAGTCAGTACCAAAGGACCAGCACTGGAGTGGGGCTAAGAACACAGGCTAAGCAGAAGAGGAGCATTCAAGACACAAAGCCTCCAGAGGCTTCTCTGGGCAAGATGGCAGTGCAGAGCCTCCTCACTGGTCAGCTGCAAAGGGCTGAGGCGTATGAGGTACTCACTGTGGAGATTGGCAGGGGAGGCTAGGTCACCCTGGACCACAGTTAGCCCTCTGGGAATATGGAAACTTTTTCATGAGGGAGAGGTGCGTGTGAGTGGAGAAGCAGTTATAGGAATATGAGAGAATACTTTCCAAACAAGGACTTATAGCATGCCATTTTGACAGCTCGCTCGAAATACCATCTCACATGTAGTTCAGGTGTAGCCCATTAGTACACTTGTGTTCAATTGTGTTCCTTTGGTCTGTTTCACCTAGCAGCTAGAAATGGAACTTTCTAATGTCTGTTCCATATGACAAAAAGCCCTTCAAATTTTGTTTGTTAATGTTTTTCATGTGTACCCTGAATCCATCTGGAAGTGGAGTATTTCCATAACTCTCATCCTCAGATTTGGCAATTTTCATTATTGTTTTTTTCCTATCACCAGAAGTGTTTTGTCCTTAATGAATTTTTTTGAGGAGTAAATTCCCCATTTTAAAGGAATAAAGGTTTGGTGATCAACACAAACATCGTAAGTATAGTTCAAATCAAATAAACAAAAAATGTTAAGCACTATACCTCAAGAGCTACACTAGACTGTTAGGAAGATAAAAGAAAAATTAGACAATCTTTGTCTTAAAGAAGCATATAATCTAATCAACAACATTAGCTAGAATTCTTGAAAAGGCAAATGTAATACTACCTTATTTATCTTGAGTTAGTAATATGACAGCTTCAGTTATCCAGCTCAGTCCAGAAATAGTCTTAAGAAGAGTAAATTCCAGTTGAATCAAATGTACAAAATGTGGGGCACCTTCATTTCAGCCCACCCATGAGGAAGCCAGGCTGACACGGCAACCACACACCCATGCCCATCATTTGTCTTGCCTTGTGGGGCACATGTACCTCGATGACACACAAGTGCCAGAAGTGACAGAGCAACTCTCAGGAGAACAAGACTATTAAAGCCAAAGTGACTGCCACATAGAGTGCCTGTGCTCAAGTTTATGTTTACTTTGATTTTAGAATAACCCCTCAAAGGCTCACATACTATCCCCATTTACTTATATTTTATATATAATTCTCATGTGCCAAGATAGCAAAATGTTCAGATGTAGTGAAATTGTAGATGGGGTATATTGAGCATCTAAGGGTGATAAAGGAGACCATTTAAACAAGCCATGGTATTGTGTTATCACCAACACCAAAAACATTAGTACAAATATAGTATGAGAACACATGGCTATATGGGGGATGTTAGTATAACTCTTAAGATATTATGGATTTGTAGTTCAGTTATTGTATTATAAATGATGAAAACCTGAAATCATTGAAAGTTTATTTATAGAATACTTTTTAAAGACAACAGGCAGTTTAAAATACATTTTTTTAAAGTTTCACCAATCAATAGTTAAAATAAGTTTTATCAACTTAAATGGTAACATGAACTAAAAAATTTTTATTAGCTATTCATTTAGCAATATTGCAAATAAAATTTCTGTACAACTATAGAAGAAAGATTATAAGGACACATGCCATAAAGTCAAATGTTAAGTACCTGATAAACTTTCTTCATCAATAACCTGCAGCTTGTTCTCATTGACTTTGAGTTCTTCTAATGTAGATGGTAGTTCTGAAGGAATCGTTACCAAATTGTTTCCATCCATATTTAAGCGTATTAAATTCTTTAGAAACTTAAATAAAGGCAAATCTCAAAATTACTTTTTTATCTTGTCACAGAAATGCAGTCATATATATTATTTAATAGTCAGTTTGCAGTAGTTACTAAAGTTTCACAAACTTTCAGTTTATTCAGTCTTAGGCATGAATCCCCAATTCTCCCTGCTGGGTACATGTTGATCCTGTTAATAGCATTTATTCCCTGGTATTTTCAGCAAACCACATTTGGTGATTTTGCATCATACTCCTCCATATTTTTACTGTGACTTTAGTTATCAGGAGAAAGTTCCTATCACCACTGGACATATTTTCCTAGATCTTAGGTTTTCACCTCAGCAGTAGAGTCAGAATTTATTAAATCATGCAATAATCTGAATCTGTCATCGATACTAACAAGAAAGCAGTTTGAATCCTTTCAGTGTGTTTGTAAACCTCAGTTTTCTATCTGTACTAAGCAGAAACAGTCATGAAATAGCACTAACTATTGTGGAAATTCATCAAAATTAAATGCCACAAATATCACAAACTATTTCTATATGGTACCCAAACAGTTTTGACAGTCTGGAGGGTATATTTTCACATTTGTAGTTACGTGTTTGTTGGCCAAACTAGCCTGCACTACCAAAGTTGCAGAGTGATTTACTTCAAAGATGCTCAAAGTCAATTTCAGCAGTTGGAAATGAGGTAGAGAATCCCAAAACAAACAAACAAAAAAACAAGTTATTTCCTATAGTGTCCTCTTTTTTTTTTATCAAACAGAGAAAATGTACAAGTCCCAACTATTTTTCTATCAAAAGGACAACTAGCATGAAGCAGGACTTCAGGTCTTTCACATGAATGTGGACACCAAGTGTCTGGAACTCTCTTGCCTGCAGCCCAGAATGTAAACAAGAACCAGGAACTGAGCCTGTAAGAGGCCAGTGACTTATCCAGAGTGGAAGGAAACCATCCAAGAGGATAAAGTTTGACTTCCTGGCATGTAACATGTTTTACTTGGGCTTCTTTAACCACACACAATTTTGAGTATTTGTTTACACACACAAATTCCTCCTTTCTTCTGCCTTTGTTTTTCGGAAAGTCCTTGATACTCTCTTTTCTCCCTTTTAGAAAATAAATTTTAGTTAAATCTGATTCTTTGCAAAGTTTACTCTATGCTTTTCTCTTTCCCTTTCTGCCCAACCTATCCCCAAGCTAATTTTCTTCTGAGCCTCTTTGTTCTTGCAGAACCCCACCTGCTGAAGTATTCTTTACTAGATTTTGCAGATTGCACAAAATAAGGAAGCTTTGTCTTGCTGGCTTGAACATGTTAACAGTTTCTAAATAAGCTCTCCTTTTTCCCCAGAAATACCTCACGTACTAAGAGACCATATTTCAACATGTTTTCAGGTACTTGGGAAGAAACTCTTCCATAAATTCTAAACATTAGTTTTGTCATTGATGCTACTGTGGGTGCATTAAGGACAAAGCATAGAAAAAACAGAAATTTATAAAACAACAAAGTATATTCAAGATATAACTTGGATACAGTTTAGGGCTATCAGAGGAGAAACTTCCTTTGACAAAAACTCCTTTAAAACATTTTACTGGGACTTCTTTGATGGTGCAATGAGTAAGAATCCACTTGCCGATACAGGGGATCTAGGTTCAGTCCTGGTCCAGGGAGACCCCACATGCTGCAACTAAGCCCATGCACCGTAACTCCTGAGCCTGTGTTCTAGAGCCCTTGAGCCACAACTGCTGAGCCCATGTGCCACAGCTGCTAAAGTTCGCGTGCCTACAGCCTGTGCCCTGCAACAAGAGAAGCCAGCACACCACAACAGAGTAACCCCTGCTCACTGCAACTAGAGAAAGCCTCCATGCAGTAACAAAGACCCAGCGCAACAACAAAAAAGAACATACTTTTCTTTCCTTCTCCATCTCCACCCATTATCAGTACAATTAATGAGAAAGCCATCCAAGTAGACTCTTAGAAATCATAGTGCATATTTACCTTGAATGCTTTCGGACCTATGCCTGAAGAGGTGATATTATTTTTGCTCAGATCAAGCCTTTCCAAATTCGGTAATCCGTTAAATGCTTCATCCGGAATGGAGGTGATGGAATTGCCTAGGACACACAGCAATTACGTTTTAGGCCTATGTACCTGTAAATACATATATATATGTACATGCATAGATAGCAAAAGAGAGCTTTACCTGGAGGAAAACACAGTGCTTATAGCAAGGACAATGTTATATAATAAATGAGTATTTATTTTAAAAAAAACAAAAAACTGAGACTAGACTATTACCTACAGTCAGAATTTTCACTCTAAGGACCTGTCTTGCTCTAGGACATCATGTTTAGATGAAGCTGCTTAAAACAGCCAGAATGTGGTTTGCTAGACAATTCTGTTAACAATATGCATTTTACAACAAAGATGTGTTATGGAAGGTACTATAGAAACTGAATTTTATAGTTCTTCATATTTTCCTATTGACACTTCTTAGATCCTGGCCCAGAAATACTACTATTTTTTAATGAAATCTTGGGCATGTAACTTGCCTTCTCCAAGCATCAGTTTGCTCTAAATAAGAAGTTTGGGGAGATAATTTCTCAGATTGCTACCTGGTCTAATGTTAAAATTCTGACTTCAATCTATAGAAGTTCCTGCATGCTTTAATTTATGGGGTTTTGTTTGACATTTAGTTAAGTAGAGTAGTCAGTGATTTTAAACCCAGAGAATGAGCTTAACAGAAATGGTGGTAGTTTAGTCGCTAAGTCGTGTCTGACTCTTGCGACCCCATGGACTGTCACCTGCCAGGCTCCTCTGTCCGTGGGATTCTCCAGGCATAATACTAGAGTGGGTCGCCATTTCCTTCTCCAGGGAATCTTCCCAACCCAGGAATCAAGCCCATGTCTCCTGTGGCTCTTGCACTGGTTCTTTACCACTGAACCAATAGGGAAATGGTGAGTACTATAAAAACCATGTGGTAGCTTTCTTATAAAACCAGGAGAGTGTAACTGAGCAGCTGAGCACACATCATCTTTCATAAGATTTTCAACCTTCACAGATTATTTCTTTGTCTAATGGCAGAGCACACCTAGCATGCAGGCTACAGAAGGAGGGGGCATTGCTGAAAAAGGAAGCTCTCAGCATAAGAGTAATTCCTTAGGAGATCAGATAAGCCTGGCATCAGGAAGGCCATAATACCTGACGGGTCCTATTGTAGGCTGGCTGTCGTGACTAAGGAGTCAGGCTGTGTCAGTTGAGTATTTATATGATCACTTATTATTTCTGTGGTAGTTTATTTCTGTGACTTCTCCCAAGACACATCTGAAAGCCCACTCAGATTCTCTCACCCCTCCATCTTAAGAGCCATCTGCAGCATGGGCCCTATTCACTGTCTCGGTCTCCACACCAGCCAGCCTCACACGCACATCTGTCCTGCCAGTCCTCTACTCAGAGCTCTTCTTAGCCCTTTAAGAACATGAGCAAACGGTCTGGGTCACGTCCTGCCTGCCAAGTAGCTAAAACAAGGGGGAAAGCAATAGTAACACTGTGATATTGCTGGAAGGAGTCTTACAGCCATTTTAAGGAAGTCTGGCCATTTCTTATAAAGGTAAACCTGCTTTTACTGTATCATTCAGCAATCCACTCGTGGGTATATACCCTAGGAAAAGGAAAACTTAAGTCCACACAAGCATCCATATATGAATGTTTATAGCAACTGTTGCATAATTGCCCCAAACTGGAAATAATCCAGATGTCCTTCACCTGGTACGTGTGGTCCATCCAAACAATGGAATGCCACTCAGAAGTGAGGAGGAGCAAGTTGTTGTTGATAATCACAACTTGAATAGCCCTCAGCAGTTTTATGGTAAGTGAAAGAAGTCCAACTGAAAAGGCTCCACACTGTATGCATTTCTGTGACATCCTAGAAAAGGTACTCTAGAGACAGGAAACATTGGGCTGGTGATAGATGGGACATGAGAGAATTTGGTGAGGTGATGAAAATGTTATACCTTGAATGTGTGACTGTATGACTGTATGAATTTGCCAAAACTTAAAGAATAACACGCTAACAATTTTTAACTGAATATAACTTATACCTCATAAAGCTGATTTTAGGGAAAAAGTCAATGGGACATCATGATTTGATTTGGAGGAATTTGCATTATACCTGATGGTGCTTTTCTGTAGTAAACTCCTATCTCTTCTGCAAGTTTTTCTGTTTGAAGATTGTGAAATTAATCTCTTGGGGTCCATTTATATCATGAAATTAAAATATCACATTCATAGGGCAATGAGAGGTAACCACAGAATCAAACAGACATCCACATCTTACCTATGAGCTCCAGACTTGTTATCTCTGGTGCTGTTAGCGGTGGTATTTGTGTGAGGTCAGCGCTGATACAGGAGATGGTTTTGTAGGACAAAGAGCACCTGCTTGGCAGAGACAGTGTGCCTCTGGGGGTCGCCGGGATTGGGAGTCGAGGGGGCATCCTGAACGTGTCTCCTCTGACGGTCTCATCCTCATCTTCCTCCTCATCTTCATCATCTTCCTCCTCATCTTCACTGTCCTCCTCATTCTCCCTTGCTGGGTTTCTGTGTTGACGGGCCTGCCTCGGCTCCTCTCCAGGCCTCTGCTCTCTCCCTTCCCTGTTCTGTCCCTCATTGGGAGGGCTCCCCCAGTCTCCACGTCTAGAAGTCTTTTTCTTTTGCTCCCTATTTTCATCTTGTTTGGCTTCTTCATCCTCCTCAAATTGAAGTTCCTCTTTTCCCAGTGCTCGATTCATTTCCACCCAAGGAGGTGACTCTTGCTTATGAGGTAAATCGGTAGGTTCTCTTTGTTCTGAAGAATCACCAGAAAATTCAGTTCTATCATTTAATGCTGTACCACTGAGTAGCAAATAGGAGGCTACTGACCACAGAAGAAGACAGCAAGGGCAAGTTGTGGTATTAATGAAAGGAAAAATCATATGAAAATTAGGTTAGTAAATATTATTCCCTCCAGGAACATGAGTACAATTTAAACATGAAATGCATCTTGTAGTTTTTGCTTGAATAACTTTAGTAGAAATAAATAAACTTTATTTGTGTTTTGTAAGACGTGATAGGCAATTCTTGTTTGCTTTGTGAGCCTTATTTTATTAAGGCACCAGGCTATCTGGTGACTAAAGAGGGAATAATATTAGCATGTGTTACAAAATGGTAAGCAGTCCTATTGCGAGATTATAAAATAATCAGATGTTATACCTTTATAATAGATACTGTTCAGTTAACTGGGGTTATTGATAATGTAAGAATTTGTACACTGTCAGACATAAAAACATGAAGCAGGTATATATTTTACTTGTTTGTGATAATGAAATCGGCTTTTATTATATTTGTCTGATTTTCTTTCAGCTCCATGTGCCTAAAAGTATCCTCTGAAATTCAGAATTATAGAAAATCCTCTTCTCTTTTCCTCCCAGACTCTGTACTTAAATCATTATTACTGCTTGAGATCTATGGAAGATGTCCTGTACTTAAATGATATTTTCTTAACCTAGACGTATGCACAGAGTATTTTTTATCATTTCATGGTGATAACATAATATATTACAGTAGAAAGTTTATCTACATTTGTATTTAACTGTTATTATCTTTGGCAGAGAGCAGGGAAGACTTGACACAGACCAGACCCTCTGAATGAAGAGTTTTAGGGAAAAATAAGCTCAGTACATAGATTTTCTTTCATCAAAATATAAAAATTTACTTAATCATTTCCATGATTTTATTTAATACTATACATAAATCACCCCAAAAAAGAACTCAAGATATTATTAGTTGAAAGAATTACTTGAAATTTCAATTCAGTATATATTATAAAGTCTGTGAGTTATTTTTTTCACATCTCTTGACAAACATGCAAAAGGAGAATAGGAAAAAATTAGCAAAAGGAAACTAAAGCTATCATATTGAAACATTTAAAATCTTTCCTGTGTATCCAAGTTTATTTTTCCAAAATAACCACAGTATTTCAAGAATAATAGTTCAAGTCCTTTGAAAAATATCTGAGAATTTCTGGATCTTGCCTTTATAAACCTTGTGTTTCATCTCCCAAGGTATCAGTTTCATTAAACTTTTATTTTCTAACACTTTTTTTTAAAGTTATCTTAGTAAAACAATTGGTGCTTAGTCACTCTGTTGCATCTGACTCTCTGCGACCCTCTGAACTGTAGCACACCAGGCTCCTCTGTCCGTGGGATTTTCTAGGCAAGAGTACTGGAGTGGGTTGCCATTTCCTCCTCCAGGGGATCTTCCCAACCCAGGGATCAAACCTGCGTCTCCAGTGTCTCCCGCATTGCAGGCGGATTCTTTACCCACTGAGCCATCAGGGATTCTCAAAGCAGTTGGTACTCTACACCAAATACAGTTCCTAAATGTTCTGAAGTTCTTCTTGGAAGGAGACTTCCGTGGATAACTACCCTGTGATCATCCTGTGTGTGGGGAACAGTCTACCTTAATCATAGGCAACAGAAAACATCTCTGCTCCCTACCCCTTCTCATCAAATTATCTAACACACATTTATTTCATAAGCTACTGACCAGGTTTTTCTTGAAGGAATCCTGAGCCTCCCTCTTGAGAGTCCTCTACCCCATCAGCCTCATAGGATAAGGGACAGTGAGCAGCCAACAAAACCTCATAGCATAGTCTTTCTCTGCACAGCAGTACCACAAAAGAAAGCCACTGCTCTTGGGCCATGGCCTTATTTCCCAAGGATTACCTGAACAGTAATAACTGCACACAGACTGAGAGAATTGGGCTTTATTCTCTCTATATGCAAGCCCCTCCTCCCTTTCTTCACCTTGAGTTCTTTATTTGGGTTTATAACTGTAAGTACGTTGAGTTGAATTGAGACAATGCATATAAGGAACTAGAGTTCTTCACAACTGCTAAGATTGTGGGAGCTGTTTACTGTGTAATTCTGTCACTCCATCTGTAATGCTGAGAGTCACATGTGGAATGTGATCTGGGCTGAGTTCAAATTGAGCTAAAACCCTAAAACACTGTCTTTTATTTCTCTCCTCTGATGTAATCTCCCAAGTAATTTCCTTATCATCACTGTGCCAATATTTAAGTACCTTACTGACTAGTTTATCATAACTTAAATTTTAAGGTAAAGACTTTTGTGGTGGTCCAGTGGCTAAGACTCTGCACTCCCAGTGCAGGGGGCCCAGGTTTGATCCCTGGTCAGGGAATTAGATCCCACACACCGCAACTAAGAGTTTGCATGCCACGACTGAAAATGACCCCTCATTGCAGGAACAAGGACTAAAGAACCACCTGCCAAGCAACTAAGACCTGGCGCAGCCAAATAAACAAGCATTTTTTTAAAAAAGAAATATCCTTTTAAAAAATAAAATTAAAGGTAGTGATGAAATAAAAGCAAATGAAAGTTAAAGACTAAATCACGTGTGACATTTTGTTTGGACTAAATATCTGTACCAGTATCAGAGCAGACAGGGCAGCATTCTCCTTCAGGTATAAGTGTTTGGGGGCACATCTGAGGGTGGCACTTGGTCTCATCACAAAGGACTTTTCCATTCAAGCAGAGGCAGGTAGTACAGGGCTCCGGAGACCACACAGCTTTGTTATACATGATCATCCCATTTGCCAAACAGTGTCCTTTCTTTCCTAGAAGAGAACAGTAACATTTGAATTCCTTGTCTGATCACTAGCACCTTTGAATGGAAGTGAGCCCAGTGTGAAGCCCAGAGTGATAGAGCCGCACGAGAATAACATTATATGTTCATGCATACATAGGGTAAAAGTATCTTACAGATGTAACCCCTTGAAGTGCTTTTCACATGTACTCTCAAGCCCTCTTACTTCTCCGAGTGGACCTGAGTGGACTTCCTCATGGTAACTTGACTCTAAATTGTGCTTTCCATCTTGCATCTGTCAGAATGGCTGAGCTATATAACAGCGACATATAACCCTCAAGTCTGTTATTTCTTGTTCGTGCTGGATATCCAATGTAGATATTGTTTGTCAAGACAAACAATAGGCTTTGTCTCCAAGCAGGCTACCCTGATGGCCACAGCAGTGGGAATGTGGGGTTGCAAATAACACACAAGTTCTAAATGTATCTAATTACATTGAACCAAGGCAAATTATATGACTGCATCTAACTTCAGAAGAGAAAAAGCAGTATAGTTCCATAGCATGCCAGAAAGCAGAGAACCAGAACAGCACTCATGATGAGCCAGCCCACACTGTACCCTTCCCAGGGTGCAGATGCAGAGGTGAGATTAGGCTATATGCTTGTGGTGCTTCTGGCATTGAAGTGTCAATGATGCACTGCAGCTATCTCTGTTTTTAGAATTGTTGTGTTGTTGAAATACGAATCTAATACCCTTTTAAAGTGCACAGTGCAGTGGGTTTTAGTATCTTATTCTCTCTTCATACATGGATAAGTGTGTCAGCTAAGCAGGCCGTTAGACAGCCAGTTTGAATATTAGAGGTGATGTTTTCCTTCTAATCCTAATGTTAGTCCTGATAACTCTTCTCCATTTGATGAGCCACTGTCCCCTCAAGTGAGCTCTCACATTTGTCTCCTTCTCTTCCTCACCACTGTATTAGCCCTGTTCATTTCTAGGTATATACCCAAGGGAACAGGAATTCAGATAGAAACTTGTACACAAATATTCGTAGCTGTGCTATTCACAGTAGCCAAAAGGTGGAAACAGCACACAGTTATCCATCAGTGGATGAGAGGATAAACAAAACATGATGTTTCTCTGCGGTGAAATATCATTCAGCCATAAAAAAGAATGAAGTACATACTACATGAGTGAACCTTGAAAACATTAGGCCAAGTGAAAGCAGTCAGACACAAAAGGCCACGTATTATAGGATTCCTTTTATATTAGATATACAGAATAGACAAATTCATAGAGACAGAAAGATTAGTGATTGCCAGAGACTTGGGGGGGAGGGGAAGGGTAGGAGAAAATGGGGAGTAAGTGCTTAATATGTATGCAGTTCTCTTTTAGGGTGAAGAAAATGTTCAGGAACTAGGTAGTGGTGATGGTTGTACAGTATTGTGAATATACTAAATGTCACTGAATTAAGTGTACACTATATAATGGTTAAATGATGTTTTATGTTATGTGTATTTTATCATAATTTTAAAAAAGTCCGTTTTTCAGACCACTGGAAAACATTTTAGGACAATTTAGAAATGTTTAGTATACATTGCCTATACTTTATGCACATCACCCTATATTGTATACTTTTAAAACAGATTTGAGATCACATTATGCGCACTGCTTTTCAGTCTTTTTATTTTCTGTTATTATAGCTTGGATATCTTTCCACATAATTAGAGAAATTGACTTCATCATTCTTTAAGAGTTATGGGTACACTATAATTATCATTTTAGATTCCCTGCCTTGAGACTCTTTCTTCTTTGCAATCATGTTGTAAATATGACCTAAATCGTCTATTTTCATCATAATTGTATGTTATTTCTGTTAGCTTCATGGAAATAACATCTTTTAAAAGTATTTGGTTCTCTTGAGACAAATATGAAGTATTGGTCACAGAACATTATGTGGTAATATTTTCTTTTGTCTTCTCAGAGTTTTATGTAATGATAACATACGTATAATATAATTAATTTTTCCTTCCAAACCTGGAAAAATGTGGACCATTACATATTAGTGTTTAAAATGCCTAGTTGAAATCTTTGGAAGACTTTCCAATCTTTTCAGACTTTAAAAAATCAGGATAAAAATTCTGTAATTTGGTATATAAAATAAATTTAATGGCTTAACTTCATATTTGGTTGAAAATATTTAATAGCCATGAGTTCATAGACTCATCTGAATCATTTATTTCTATATCCTAGATAACCTATCATGATAAATGACATGTATATTACTATAGTATGATTACAACTATTTAAAATACATGGCATAGTAAACAGACTGGAAAGAATAAACCAAATAGTAAGTATGGTTTTATAAATATAGTTGTGGAATAAGTAATGTTTTTCTTTTTTCCAATAATTTTATAAATATATTCTATAAATGATTTTTTAATTATTTCAAAATTTATCTTTGTAGATTAAACTAAAAGATAATAACTTGAATTTTTAAAAATTTTCTTCATGGAGGTTCTCTCTCTTTTCCTCTCTCCTACTATTTTCTTACCTGGTAACACATTATAGCTTGATTCTACTCCAGGAACACTTAAAAAAGATTCAAATTTTTCCTCCATACTGTAATCCAAGTTAATTATGGGAAGTTTTGCTGCAGGTGTAACTGTCTTCATCTGATGAATTCCAAGCTGTCTAACAGATCTGTGGGTGGGCAAGGAACTTTTTCTCAGTCTTCTATAATACATCTTCCTTCTTTGCCTCCTAGAAGTTTCTTCATTTTGTCCAAAGTCAGTTTGAAAAATGAGAAGCAGAAGAAAGCAATACAAGCTTGAAAACTTCATGCTTTCTTTTTCACCATTTGATTCCTAGGATGAAAATGAAACAGAATTTTGAAGTTAGTGACTAAATTTTTACCTCTGAAAATTGGCTTATAACTGCCTGTATCCTTCAGCAGCAGTCTTTGAGAAATAAAACATAGATATATGGGCTGAATGCTATATTATTACTGCCAAGTCAGAATTTAGAATTTTCCTGTCAGAATCAAAGGTTTTTGTTCTTGTTTTTGTTTGGCTGCACTGGATCCTCATTGCTACATGCAGGCTTTCTCTAGTTGCAGGTGAGTGGGGGCTAGTGCTCATTACAGTGCACAGGCTTATCATTGCATTGGCTTCTCTTGTTGCGAAGCACAGGCTCTAAGTGCTCAGGCTTCAGTAGTCCCAACACACGGGCTCAGTTGTGGTGTGCAGGCTCTAGGGAAGGCTCTAGGGAAGTTGTGGCTCGTGGGCTCTAGAGCGCCAGCCCAGTAGTTGTGGGTTGCTGGGTTAGTTGCTCCTTGGCATGTGGAATCTTCCTGGTCCAGGGATGTAACCCATGTCCCTTGTATTGGCAGGCAAATTCTTAGCCACTGTACCACTATGGAAGTCCAAAGAAATTTTAGTATTTTATCTTTATCTTTATAGACCAGGCATGAGCAAACTTCTGTCTATAAAGAACCAGACAGTAAATATTTTAGGCTTTACAGGCCGTGCATTCTTGTCATAACTACTCCACTCAACTCTTGTAATATGGAAGTAGACAGTATGTACGCAAGTGGGTGTGGCTGTGTTCCTATAGAACTCTATTTACAAAACAGGCAGTGGGTCAGACTTAGCCCCTAGGCAGTAATTTGCCAGCCCCTTTCTGGACCGCTGTGTTGTAGGTTTCCAGAGGTTACTTGGGAGATTTCTTTCCTCCTGTCTGCCAAGTCATTCTGTGACTAATGTCATCCACAGCTTATTTTCCCAGCTCTTCTGTTCTAGTCTTTTATTCTCTAGTGTTATAATTTTCTTTATTGGGAAGGAAGCAGCATAATTTCATCATATAAGAATAATAGAAAACTAATACCAGTTAGAAAGAGGTAAGAGAGACAAAGTAACTTTTAATCAACTGGTCTTAAAAGCAGCACATGGCCCGGTACATGATAAAGCTGAAAAACATGTTTGAGAAATGAATACTTTTTCAAACCATAAACATCAGTTCAGTTCAGCATGGAGTAGCACAAAACAAAAATCTCTGAGAGGGGGAAAAATCCAAATTAATCTCCTGCACACTGCCTAGAGGGAGTTCCTTCCCAGGTTGAAGCCGAGGGTGAAGACCCCAAGCAGAGCCTCACAATCTCCCAGAGCTGAAGAAACAAAACCTGGGGTCCCAGAGAGGCAAGAATTTGCAGAGCAGAGCACAGAGAGATGAGAGCAACCCTGAGAAAGCCTTCCAAAGATACCAGTTCTTCAACTGGGTACTGATTAATACATTTGTATGAGTAGACTCCTCAGCAATGAAGAAAGAACTACCATGAATGACAAAAAAAAAAAAATTCTTTAGGATAGAAAAGACTGGGCAGACTCCATGTGTCCACCAGTCATAGTGGAGAACCTGTCCTGCAAAGGGCATCAGGCAGAATGCTCAGAAGGGCATTGGCACATCAAAGAAGACAGTTTACTCTGGGCTGATGGCTGATCTGATCACATTTAACAGAACTGAACAGCAAGCCTTCTGGAAAGGATCAAACTATATGCAACAACTTAACCATGTCCCAGAGCACTCAGCAAGGGTTGGGAAAGTCAGCAAAAATTTACCAGGCACAAAACAGGAATTGTTGACCCATAGTGATGAGGAAAATCAATCCATTGAAACACATTCATAGCACAGTTGACATAATTATTAAATAGGCCATTAAAAGTTATAAACACTTTTATTTCAAAGTTATTAAAACTATAATTTGTATGTTCAGGAAGATAGAGGAAAGATACTTAATGAAATCCAAATTGAACTTATAAAGGTATAAAATACAATGTGAGAAAGAATAAACTATACTGCAAGGGATGAATAGGACATTGGACACCATAGGAAAAAATTAGTAAAGTGGAAAATATAGTCATAGAAGTTACTCAAAATGAAACACACACACCCACAAGACCAGTAAAAAACATGAATGGAGCATTATCAAATTGTTGGGCAACTTTAAGTAGATCAGTTTACATCCAGTTCCAGTCCCTGAAGGAACTGTGTTTGAAGAAATAAAGACTGATCTTTGCCCAAATATGAAGAAAATTATAAAGCCACATATCCAAGATCAATAGACCCCCAAAATAAGAAATATGAAGAAAATTCTGTCAAATATTCTTCATAATCAAATTGCTTTTAAGCCAGTAATAAGGAGAACATCTTAAAAGTAACTGGAGAAAAAACATAAGAATAGAATAAAAGACTTCTCATTCAGAATAGTCCAAGCCAGAAGACAATGGAGCAATAGCTTTTAGGTATTGGGGGAAAAAATAAATAAACTTAGAGTTCTTTATTTTTTTTTTAAGATTTTTCTTCTTTTTTTTTTTTTTTATGTGGACCATTTTTAAAGTCATCATTGAATTTATAACAATATTGTTTCTCTTTTATGTTTTGGTTTTTTGGTCAAGAGGCATGTAGGCTCTTAGCTCCCTGACCAGGAATTGAGCCAGCACCCCTTACATTGGAAGGCAAACTCTTAATCCCCGGACTGCCAGGGAAGTCCCTACTTAGAGTTGTATACTCAGTGAAAATGCCTTTCAGAAACACAGGCAAAATAAAGACTTTTTCAGACATAGAAAAGCTGAAGAAATTAATCACCAGCAGAAATGCACTACAAAAAATGTTACCATGTAAGGAAAATTATATTAGATGGAATTATGGAGCTACTGTTGTAATATACTTAGAAGTAAAGTGGAATATCAACTGAAGGTAAGCTGTAATAAGTTAAAGATACATATTATATGCCCTCAGGTAACCACTAAACAAAAAGAGTTATAGCTAATAAGCCAATAAAGGTGATAAAGTGGAATAATAAAAATAATCCAAAACATTACATGTGCTATGTGTTGTGCTCAGCCACTCAGTCGTGTCAGACTCTTTGCAACCCTATGGACTGTAGCCCACCAGGCTCCTCTATCCTTGGGATATTCCAGTTAATAATACTAGAGTGGATTGCCATTCCCTTCTCCAGAGGGTCTTCCCAACCCAGAGATCGAAGCAGCGTCTCCTGTGTTGGCAGGCGGATTCTTTACCACTGAGGCAACTGTAAATCATATTGAATGTGGATTCATTAACTGCTACAATTAAAAAGGAAGAGGCTATCCAAGTAGAATTTTTAAAAATTAAGACCCAACTCTGTGCTGCCTATAAGAAACTCATGCTAAATAAAAACACAAGTAGGTTAAAATTATAAGGATGGAAAATATACCTCGGTAACACTAATCAAAAAAAAAGTGGATGGAATATTTTAGCAATAAAGTATTTTGCCACCAGGGCTTCCCTGGTGACTCAGTGGTAAAGAATTTGCCTGCTAATGCAAGAAACACAGGTTTGATCCCTGAGTCAGTAGGATCCCCTGGAGAAGAAATTGGTAACCCACTCCAGTATTCTTTCCTGGGAAAGCCCATGGACAGAGGAGCCTGGAGACGTCCATGAGATCACAAAGAGTCAGACATGATTTAGCAACTAAACAACAGCAATATTTTTTTTTACATAATGCTGTTTCACACTTAATAGACTACAGTGTACTGTGAACATAACTTTTATGCACTTGAAAAGAAACAAACAAAAAAAATGTGTGACTCCCCTTATTGGTGGTCTAATCAAATCCTCAACATCTCTGTATTATGCTTGTATGCTCATTTAATCAGAATTGCATGTTCCTTTATTTATGATCCTACTTTTAGTTTTTGTTTTTATTTTGCTCAGGTAATGCTTCTGTTTCCTTGCAATCTGTATCATTTATAATGATGCTTCACTCTATAGAACTTAGATTTTGAATGAATCTTTGAAGTTATCTGCTTTTCCATTAATGGGAAATTCTTTATCATCCATGTTCAAACTGCTCTGCCAGAAAAGTCTTCCTTTGATTGAGCTACAATTTGTTGTTCATCACATAATGGCTCATAAGAGGTTTAAAGATAAGAGCCACATTTACACAGTTATCTTTCCTCTGAGTTCTTAATCTTTTTTATCAATGCTTTTAAAGATGTATTTAAGTTTCTAAAAATAGTACATAGTTTTTAAAAACTCAAAATGATATGTAGGCATAAAAGACGAGTTGCCTTAACCATAATTCATAGTTTAGTACAAGGGTAGGCATACTTTTTCTTCAGGGTCCAGAGAGTAAACATTTTCAGCTTTGCAAGACAACAATCTCTGTTGAAATTACTCAACTTTGTTATTGTACCCCAGAATAGCAATGGACAAGAAGTAAATGGATGGCCACAACTATGTTCTGATGGCACTTTGAAAAACAGGATTTGGCCTGTGGGCCATAGTTTCCCAACTGCTAGTTTAAGAGTATCTTTCAAGATGCCTCCTAAACATGTATGAACATATACATTTAAATATAAATGAGCTATTCTATATATGTTTTAGTACAACCTGTTTTCTTTCCATTCAGTAATAAATTGTGGTAATATGGACATATATAGCAATGTTTATAAATACATATGGTCTGTGCTCTCTATTTTCATTCCATAGGTTATATAACAATTTAGTGATGGATACTTAATTTTTTTTTCATTTTTCTTTTATTATAAACACTCCTGTGAGAATTCCTTGGCAACCCAGTGGTTCATACTCCACCCTTTCACTGCCCATGGCCCATGTTCAATCCCTGGTTAGTTAATATATTTTTGCATTGTTTTACTTTCAGCCTTTCATATTTTCAATATACTTTCTATTAGCATATCATTTTTAGTGTAATATGACAGTTTTTATCTTTGACCTTTTAATTGAATATTTTGTCTATTTGTATTTATTGTAACATGATACGTTTGGATTGAAACATATT